AAAACTGAACACTGTTTGAAAACAATACCTAGAACACTGTGACCTCGAGCAGCGCTCCGCTATTAGTAAAATTAGAATCAGTGCCCACTCCTTGGAAATCGAAAAAGGGCGATATGTGAAACTACCTGTGTCGGAGAGAATTTGTAAATATTGCTCCTCAAATGCAGTGGAAGACGAAATTCATTTCATCTCTAATTATCCATTTTATGACGACATCAGAAAACAATTATTTAGCACCGTCTCCAAAATGCTCCCCTACTTCCCCACCATTCCCTACCACAAAAGAGCAATTTTACTACTAAAAGATCCCAGAACCGTGCCTGGGAACACATCGACGTTCTTGGATACACGGAGACTATCCCCTGAACCATGCCCAACATTAATTCATGCGGGCATAGAACTACCTAGTACTTGATAGGTACGGTTCTTAAGCGACGGCAGGGCCGGTCAATCAGCAAAGATATAAGTTCTAAAAGTATTACGATCTTTGAGGAATTCCAAGCGTAACGGTACGATATGAATTGACTTCATTTTCATGATTTTGATGTTAAACTTACCAGGAGTATTCACAGAAGAGCACGTGACTAGGTCCCTTGACGCAATGAAAGCCAGACGGGATAACCTTATCAAGGTAAACCAGCCTTTTTACGTAAGGCCGCAGCAAGTAAATTTTATGGATGACGTCCGCGCGCGCATTGATTTTGGCCTGTTCCTAAAAAAAACAAGAAATTCCGCTTCCTATAACTATGACTAAAGAGTCACGACAGTGCTGCAAATCGTCAGATTGACGTGAAACTCGTAACGCGAAATGGGTAAAGAGCAAAAATGTGATGAAAGAAACAGGACAGGATGACAACTGCTGTTCCACCTGATTTATTGCTATTTTGATGATGAATGAAAGACTTCTTGCTTGTTACACTGTGTCACCTCATTCAATTTGTGTCCTAACATTTGTCGTCTATTAGTATATTTCTAATCTAGGCATATTGTTTTTTAGGGCCCTTCTTGTTTTTCTTCGCCCTCTCGCATTAGATTTAGGGTCTCCAAAGGATGCCATCCATAAAATTTACTTGGTGTGGCCTAAGCCGTTTTACGTTAGGCCTCAGCAAGTAAATTTTATGGATGGCATTCCCCGCAGACTCCAAAATCTAATGCGATAGGGCGAAAAAAAAACAAGGTGGGCCAAAAAAAGATTTCTATATTTTCAAATTTTGAGATCATAAACCTTGTTAAACAAGATTTTTGATTCAGTGGCAATATCACATAGAAAGGAATGAAATACAACAAAGCAAGAAAGTAAAAGACAAAACATTAAATCAGAGCCTTGTCTTCACTGTCTCTTCACATTTACCTATCTGTCATCCACATTCCGGCATGGCAACAGACATACTAGCCCATTTTCGGCATGTTGTCCACTATCAGACTCCAGGCAACAGAATTTCTATCTTTTTTCCCAAAATCAGGCGAAAATCAATGCGCGCGCTGATGTCATCCATAGAAATTACTTGCTGTGGCCGAACTAACTACAAAATATATTCTATCAATGTTGCCCTTCATATATATATATATATACCTGATTGAGATTCTGGTCACTGTTTTTTTCTGCTCTGAGAGAAGTGTACAAATAAACCTGTAAATAGGATCTGTTGGGAAGTATAATGTCCGTTGGTTGTCGAGAAATTCTAGAGCGAAATGGTAATATATTACTTTTAAAATGATTTTTAGTGTATCTAAAGTCTCTGTAGCAGCTACTGTAATTACTTACCATAGATTTACAAGTTTACCAGTGAAAAAGTGACTTTATATACCAACTTCATTACAGAAAATTCATGAAGGAACCAAAGTTGTGACGTTGTTCTTCTACCACGGACTGAAGGCCGAGCTCGACCCCAACAGAGTCACGGACCCCAGGAAGCGGCAGATGGCCATCAAGAAGTACGTGGAAGTCATCAAGCTGTGCCAGACCTTCGTCTCCAGCAAGAGCTCCCTGGAAATCCGCATCGTCGACTGGACAGACCCGGCAGAGCGCAAGGAGATTGACAAGGAGAAGTTTGGCTTGGCCAGACTTAAAGGTAAGATCTGATTATTTAGCACCGTAATGTATTTTAATGTAAAAAACGTGCTAAAAGTTTTTCTTGGGATAATTGTATTTTTATTAATTTGTTTATTTTTTTGCTAGTATATGGTATTAGTAAAAAAAATGGGATAACACCCCGCTAGCCCATTTTTTTACTAATAAGAATATAACACAATCACCTTTTAGTGAAAAAATGGGATAACACCCCTGCCATCCCATTTTTTACTAAAAGGAATATAACCCAATCACCTTTTAGTGAAAAAATGGGATAACACCCCTGCCATTCCCATTTTTTTACTAAAAGGAATATAACCCAATCACCTTTTAGTGAAAAAATGGGATAACACCCCTGCCATCCCATTTTTTACTAAAAGGAATATAAACCAATCT